GATAGGGATTGCATCAAATCTGTAGATTGCTTTGGGCAGGATGGCCATTTTGACAATATTAATTCTTCCTAGCCAAGAGCTAGGGGATGAGTTTCCATTTGTTAGTGTTTTCTTTAATTTCTCTTAAGAATGTCTTGTAGTTTTCAGGGTATAGATCTTTCACTTCTTTGGTTAGGTTTATTCCTAGGTATTTTATTCTTTTGATGCAATTGTGAATGGAATTGTTTTCCTGGTTTCTCTATTAGTTCATTGTTAGTGCATAGGAAAGCCACAGATTTCTGTGTATTAATTTTTTATCCTGCAACTTTGCTGTATTCCGATATCAGTTCTAGTAGTTTTGGAGTGGAGTCTTTAAGGTTTTTTATGTACAATATGTCATCAGCAAATAGTGACAGTTTGACATCTTTACCGATCTGGATTCCTTGTATTTCTTTGTTTTGTCTGATTCCTGTGGCTAGGATGTCCAGTAATATGTTGAATAAAACTGGTGAGAGTGAGCATCCCTGTCTTATTCTCTATCTTAGAGGAAATGTTTTCAGCTTCTTGCTGTTCAGTATGATGTTGGCTGTGGGTTTTTCATATATGGCCTTTACTATGCAGAGGTACTTGCCATCTTTACCCATTTTTCTGAGAGTTTTTACCATGAATGGATGTTGAATTTTGTTGAAAGATTTTTCAGCATCTATGGAGATGATCATGTGATTCTCGCCCTTCTTTTTGTTTATGAGGTGGATGATGTTGATGGATTTTCAAATGATGTACCATCCTAGCATTCCTTAGATGAATCCCACTTGATCATGGTGTATGATTCTCTTGATGTACTGTTGAGTTTGGTTTGCTAATATTTTGTTGAGTGTTTTTGCATCTATGTTCATCAGGGATATTTGTCTGTAATTTTCTTTTTTGGTGGGGTCTTTTCCTTGTTTTGGTATTAGGGTGATTTTAGCTTCATAAAATGAGTTTGGAAGTAGTCCCTCTTGTTCTATTTTTTGGAAAACTTTAAGGAGAATGGGTATTATATCTTCTCAGTATTATAAAATTCCATGGTAAATCCATCTGGCCCAGGGGTTTTGCTCTTGGTTAGTTTTTTGATTACCGATTCAATTTCTTTGCTGGTAATTGGTCTGTTTAGATTTTGTGTTTCTTCCTTGGTCAGTCTTGGAAGGTTGTATTTTTCTAGGTAGCTGTCCATTTCTTCTAGGTTTTCCAGCTTCTTAGCATATAGGGTTTTGTAGTATTCTCTAATATTTCTTTATATTTCTGTGGGGTCTGTCGTGATTTTTCCTTTCTCATTTCTGAATCTGTTGATGTGTGTAGATTGTCTTTTTCTTTTTATAAGTCTGGCTAGGGGCTTATCTATTTTGTTTATTTTCTCAAGGAACCAGCTCTTGGTTTCATTGATTTTTTCTATTGTTTCATTCTTTTCAATTTTATTTATTTCTTCTCTGATCTTTATTATGTCCCTCCTTCTGCTGCCTTTAGGCCTCATTTGTTCTTCTTTCTCCAATTTTGATAATTGTCTTTAGACTATTCATTTGGGATTGTTCTTCCTTCTTTAAATATGACTGGATGGCTATATACTTTCCTCTTAAAACTGCTTTCACTGCGTCCCACAGAAGTTGGGGCTTTGTGTTGTTGTTGTCATTTGTTTCCATATATTGCTTGAACTCTATTTTGATTTGGTCTTTGATCCATTGATTATTTAGGAGCATGATGTTAAGCCTCCATGTGTTTGTGAGTCTTTTTGCTTTCTTTGTCAATTTATTTCTAGTTTTATGCCATTGTCATCTGAGAATTATGTTGGTAGAATTTCAATCTTTTGGAATTTCCTGAGGCTCTTTTTGTGGCCTAGTATGTGGACTATTCTGGAGAATGTTCCATGTGCACTTGAGAAGAATATGTATTCTATTGCTTTTGGATGTAGAGTTCTGTATATGTCTATTAGGTCCATCTGTTCTAGTGTGTTGTTCAGTGCCTCTGTGTCCTTACTTATTTTCTGTCTGGTGGATCTATCCTTTGGAGTGAGTGCCATGTTGAAGTCTCCTAAAATAAATGCATTTGCATTCTATTACCTCCTTTAATTCTGTTAGTATTTGTTTCACATATGTTGGTGCTCCTGTATTAGATGCATATATATTTATAATGGGTATATCCTCTTGTTGGATTTACCCCATTATCATTATATAATGTCCTTCTTTATCTCTTGTGACTTTCTTTGTTTTGAAGTATATTTTGTCTGATACTAGTACTTCAACACCTGCTTTTTTCCCCTTGTTGTTTGCATGAAATATCTTTTTCCATCCCTTGACTTTTAGTCTGTGCATGTCTTTGGGTTTCAGGTGAGTCTCTTGTAAGTAGCATATAGATGGGTCTTGCTTTTTTTTCCATTCTACTACTCTGTGTCTTTTGATTGGTGCATTCAGTCCGTTTACATTTAGGGTGATTATTGAAAGATATGTACTTATTGCTGTTGCAGGCTTTAGGTTTGTGCTTACCAAAGGTTAAACGTTAGATTACTTACTATCTTACTGTCTCACTTAACTCATTTATTGAGCTGTTATAAACACAGTGTGATGATTATTTATTTCTCTCCCTTCTTATTCCTCCTCCTCCATTCTTTGTATGTTATGTGTTTTATTCTGTATTCTTTTGTGTTTCCCTTGACTGACTTTGTGGTTTGCTGATTATTTTTTGCCTTTAGTTAGTATTTGGTTGGTCTGCTTTCTTTGCTGTGATTTTATTTTCTGTGATGACATCTGTTTAGCTTTAGGAGTGCTTCCATCTAGAGCGTTCCCTCTAAAATACCCTGTAGAGGTGGTTTGTGTGAGGCAAATTCCCTCAACTTTTGCTTGTCTGGGAATTGTTTAATCACTCCTTCATATTTAAATGATAATTATGCTGGATACAGTATTCTTGGTTCAAGGCCCTTCTGTTTCATTGCATTAAATATATCATGCCATGCTCTTCTTGCCTGTAAGGTTTTTGTTGAGAAGTCTGATGATAGCCTGATGGGTTTTCCTTTGTAGGTGACCTTTTTCCTCTCTCTGGATGCCTTTAATACTCTGTCCTTGTCTTTGATCTTTGCCATTTTAATTATTATGTGTCTTGGTGTTGTCCTCCTTGGATCCCTTGTGTTGGGAGTTCTGTGTGCTTCCGTGGTCTGAGAGGCTATTTCCTCCCCCATTTAGGGGGAAGTTTTCAGCAATTATTTCTTCAAAGACACTTTCTATCCCTTTTTCTCTCTATTCTTCTTCTGGTACCCCTATAATGCAGATATTGTTCCATTTGGACTGGTCACACAGTTCTCTCAATATTCTTTCATTCCTGTAGTTCCTTTTATCTCTCTTGGCCTCAGCTTCTCTGCATTCCTGTTGTTTGATTTCTATTCCATTAATGGCCTCTTGCATCTCATCCGTTCTGCTTTTAAGTCCTTCCAGAGATTGTTTTATTTCTATATTCTCCCTCCTTAGCTCTTGCATGTTTCTCTGCAAGTCCATCAGCATGGTGATGACCTTTATTTTGAATTCTCTTTCAGGAAGATTGGTTAAATCTATCTCCCCAGATTCCCTCTCAGAGGAGGATATCTGGGTTATTCTAGTCTGGATCAGATTCTTCTGCCTTTTCATGGTGATAGAGGTAGTCGTAGGCAGTTGGCACGTGTGTCAGCTGGGAGAATCAAGTTCCTTTGCACTTGCTCCTGGCCTTCCTTTCCTGGGAGAACGGCGACCCCTAACAGCTTGTGCTGGGCAGTTGCGCACAAACAGTGTCTTGGATTCTTGCCTGGCTGCTGTGGAGTAAGCTGGTTGCTGTGGGCGTGGCTGCTTTCAGGCTGCTGCTCTTCTGTGGCCAGGCTGCACCAGAGGGGGAATGGGCAGGAGGCTGTTTATCACCGTGAGGGACCTCAGAGCTGTGCTGCTTCCCAGGGGGTTAGGGCACCCAGAGTTCCCCGGGATTCCCAGCTGCTGGGCTGAGTGTGCCAGGAAGCTTCCTTCCAGCTGTGAGGCTATTGTCCCTTTAAGACTTTCAAAAATCACTTGCATTTCTTTTTTCCCAGGGGCACTGGCTGCGGGGACTGCTCTCAGGTTTTACTGTTCTGTTTCCCCAGTATACAGCACACCATGCACTGTATGTCTGTGCTCCCAGTGTGGATGACTAGGGCTGGTTATTTTGCAGTCCTGGGCTCCCTCTCCCTCCCCGCTCCAACGCCTCTTCTCCCTCCGGTGAGCTGGGGTAAGGGGCGCGCTCGGATCCCGCCAGGCTGTGTCTTGTATCTTACCCCCTTCGTGAGGCACTGGGTTCTCGCAGGTGTAGATGTAGTCTGGCTGTTGTGCTGTATCTTCTGGTCTCTCTTTTAGGAATAGTTGTATTTGTTGTATTTTCAAAAATATATATGTTTTGGGGAGGAGATTTCTGCTGTCCTACTCATGCCGCCATCTTGGCTCTTCCTCCAAGGTTTCTTTTTTAGGTAATGAAAATATTCTGAAGCTGGACAATGGTGATGGTTGTACAACATTACGGAATGTACACCATGCCACTAAACCGTACACTTAAAAATGGCTAAAATAGTAAATTTTATATTACGTGTATTTTACCACAATAAAAAGACATAATATATATATACACATGTACACACATACTCAAACACAAGTGAGCAAAACAGAAGTGATTTACCATTAAATAAAGAAATTGTAAAATATTCAAAGACATAATATCACTAACTATAGATCAAAAGACAGTATCAGGAAGACTGAAGTAAACTGATTTAAGACAAATTCTGTACCTCAGAATAAAAGGAAGGGAATTAACTCCATAGTGAAAAACATATACACACAAAGCTCTAAATATCCACATCCATAATTCACAAAAGACAATCAATTTAATTAAAAGGAAGCTTCTATCAGTTGAGTGTTTTTAAAACTGAATCAGAGAGGTCATTAGCTCCGAAAGCTCTACAATAGAGTTAAAAGGAAAAAGGTATTTAATAAATAATATACTACTACCTTTCAGCCCAAGGTCCTCTTTCACATGTAACATAGAGCTGTATTGCCTTCCAGCATCTCAGCGTGGCTACCTGTTGACTGCTAAGTTGTTTAAGAATACTATTATACCTTAAATTCTCTTGGCGGGCTTTTCGATTAAATGGCTCCACAAAAAACTCCTGAAAGAAAGAGCAATCAATGATAGCACTGAATCATTTATTTACAGGTACATTTAAATTTTAATACCATACTTCAAAAAAATCTGACCCAATAAAATCATGTAGTAAAAGAAAGTAGCTAGCAAACAACAGGATTTTCTTATTCTATTAGAATAATTTTCTTTAATGAAGCATGATATGATCTTAGCCATAACCTATTTGTATTTTTTACAACTTAAAAAATAATCAACAATAAACATGTGAAGAACTTAAAAAATGTAAGGTACCTCAATAAAGGACTTTTAAACTTAGAATTACTTAATTTATACTGTGAAGTGAAATGGTTTTCCTCTGGGATCTTTTGATTTGTAAGGCATCTGAGATAACACTCAAGTTTAAGTAACACTGAAGGAATAATAACCTCATTTCATGCTACTATTGATGGCCCAAAAGGCAGTAGTAAAGACAAAAGAAATCAATAGGGGCAAATTTCTCACCCTTGAGAAATTTTATCACTTGGATCGCTGCTTCCTGCATAGCATCCTAGCTATGCATATTCATAGCTATAGCAAAAATGAATTCACATAGTTATTTCAGTTTTCAGGATAAAGTAGACTTTGACAATAGGTCCTACCGAGATGAACTCTAAGCCCTGATTAAAATTCTACACTTTTCAAAGAAACAAGTGATAAGACTGACTTATCTAACTCACACAGATATTCATGTATTAGGAACTAAAATCACAGTATTAATTTGTTTCACACAAATCAACACTGAGCCACATTAAAAAGAGCAGGTAAATGACATGGATTTAGTCATGGATTTAAAAGACACCTTTTAGAGAGGCAGTAAAACTGTGTGATTAAGAACATAAGCTTAGGAGTTAGACATAAGCTTTGGGTACAAATCTTAGATAATTCTCTGAGGTGTAGCATCCTTAACTGTAAAATGAGGTTCACAATTATGGTAATAAAAGATTAATATTAAAAAAAAAGATTATGATTTAAAGTGCTTAATATAATGCTAAAGCAGAAAGCTTTCAATAAATTGCAGTTATTATCCTAATTGTTACTATACTTATTACTAGTTATGTGAAAAAACCAATGACTTGGGATATAGTGTTCTCATAAGTGAGAAAACTGAGGAAATACTGACAGCTTCATGATTAAACATCAGATTCAGAGATTTGAAGTTCAGGCACGTGAGAATACTCTTAAGTTTGTTTTTTCCATAAAAGCTGAGGTGGAATATAAATTTGGAAGAACTTCTATGAGGGCAATGTAATAGTGTTTATCTTGAGTGCTACATACCAGTGATTCTACTTATCATAGGGGAACTATATGAATATAGAGATGATCAATACTATTTATAATAAAGAAAAAACTGGTAAATTAGGTCCAGAACTGGAAAACAAATTTAAATACATTCTAGTACATAATATAATGGAAAATGTTCGCAATCTATTTTAAGAAAGGTGTAGCAAATGAAAGTGTGCCATTTCGGTTTAGCCAAATATACACATAAAAAACAGCAAATATATATACTGAAATGTTAATAGTGGTGTATTACATATGTTCCTTTTCATACCTATTTCATGGAACAAAGATATATTTTTATTTGGTTTTCTGTTTCATCACTGTGTATATAGATCACATACGCATTTTGTCAGATTGATACCTAAGTATTTGATTCTTTTTAGAGTTATTGTAAAGAGTATTTTAAAATTTCTGTTTCCAATTACTCATTGCTAGTTTCTAAAAATATGATTAAATTTTGCATATTGAACTATCTTGTATGCTGATTGTTGCTAAACTCATTAATCAAAAGAGATTTTTGGTAGATTCCTTAGGATTTTCTACATAGATAATCGTAATATCTGGAAATAGCTTTATTTTTCCTTCCCAATATAAATGCTTTTTATTTCTTTTTGTATTCTTATTTCATTTGCTAGGACTTACAGTATGATAGTGACCAGGTGTGATGAAAGTGGACATTCTGGCCTACTTCTCTTCTCACAAGGAGAGCACTCAGTTTTTTACCATTAAATATAAAGCTAGCTGTAAGATTTTTGTAGAGATCTAGGCAGTTCCCTTCTATTTCTTGTTTGCTGAGAGCTTTGATCATAACTGGATGTTGAATTTTGTTAAATGCTTTTTCTACTGATATGTGGCTCATTATATTAATTAGTTATCACATGTTGAACCAGCCTTGTATTCCCAAGATTAACTCTACCTGGTTGTGATGTATTTTTTTTTTTTTAATATTTGCTGTATGTGATTTGCACCTATAATTCTAGAGGGGTATTTAGCTTACAGTTTTCTTGTACTATTTTTGTATGATTCAATATGAGGGTAATAGTGACCTTATATAATGAGTTAGGAAGTGATACAACTTTTCTATTTCCTAAAGAGATTGTGAGGAATTGGTGTAATTTCTCCATTAAATGTGTGGTAGAATTTGCCAGGGAAACTACAGGGCCTGAAGTTTTTCCTTTTGGAAGGTGTTTAAGTACAAACTCAACTTCTTTGCTAGATAGGAGACTATTTAGGTTATCATCTTATTCTTGAATTAAGTTTTGGAAATTTCTATTTGTTAAGAATTGACCCATTTCATTCAAGTCATCTTATTTATGTGCATACATTGGTTTGCAGTAGTCCCTTATTATCATGCTGATTTTTGTGAAGTCAGTCGTGAAGGCCTACTCCTTTAATTCCTAATATTAGTAACTTTTTCCTTTTCATTTTTTCCTTTGTCAACGTGATTAGAAGTTTATTAATTTTATTGATATTTTGAAGAACTAGATTTTGGCTTCATTTATTTTCTCTACTGTTTTCTGCTTTACAATTTCATTGATTTATTTTCTCTTTTTTAGGTTTCTTATTTAGAAACAAATTTAGATTAGTTTAAATTACTTTTTCTAGTTTCTTAAGGTAGAAATAAACTATTAGTTTATGGCCTTTCTTCTTTTCTAATACAAGTGTTCAGTGCTATAAATTCTCTCTAAGCACTAATATATACCCAGCCACCTTAGAGATAGCTACCATGAGCTTAACGGACTTTTTACATAATCACCATGTATAGAACATTTTGATATTAGTTTTTTTAATTTTATTGATCAGTGGTTTTCTTCCAATTCTGAAATAGTTTTCAGACAAACAAGAGGAAACACTGTTTTCAAAGTTCATACTTGTTAATATTCTTATTTGAATATTAAGTATTTAAAATCAACATAAAAAACTATATGATGTTTTTAACATTGAGTAGGTTTTACCTGAAACTTGAGCTTGCTTTCTCCTCCTTCCCGGTCTCGTCTATGCATATTCACCATTAAGGCTTCATAACAATCCTTCCAGTAAAGTGCCATGTTCTCACGACCATCATAAAATGTGTGGGTTTCATATTGGTTCATATAAGGTACAATCTTATAAAAAAATATATATATACAGAAAATTTAATATATACTTCTATAAGATTGATGATTTAGTCAAAAAATTTCATTCAAAAAGATAGCACTTACATATTTTTCAATGTAAACTTGCCATTCATTTGAACTGCAATATTCTTGAAAATCTTCAAAAAATGAGGAGCTACCGTTGGTAAAAGGAAATGAGGGCAGGTGCAAGTTCATGAAGAGAAGCTCATAAATTTTGGAAACCAGGGTACGGAGAAGGGGAATCAGAAATGAGTAAATTTCAGTCTGTTCCTTGATGGATTGACTTAGAACATATTCCAGCTTCCCTAAAATGTAACACGCTTCTTCTTGATTTTCAATCACTTTGGTCTGAAGAAGGGTATTTAGCTTAGCTGATGCCATTGCACAAACCTGAGGAAAATACTATAGGTGAGAAAGAGCAGAATGATGCAGACATTTCATGATAGCAAAAGTTCTCTGGTTCTTCTTGAAGATTTTTTTTGGGGGGGGGTTTCTCTTTCTTTAAAAAATTATAGAAATAACCCATGTTTAATTTGGAATATATAGAAAAGGTGTGGTAGATAATTTATCACCCCAACATCTATTCCATTCCTTCTTATAGTGTTCAAGGATGGGGGATGATTCCATCTGTAGTTCTAACAATAGGTCCTAAGAGATGTAAGTCAACCAGAATATCCAATCTCTTTCCACAGGGACTGGTTTAGATAACTGATCTTTCAGTCAATTCATGTCACTGTCTTTGTCACAGGGATTCCATCAGGGATGGCCTTATCAACACAATAACTGTCACGAATTACGAAGGGTCTTAGATTTTAACTTACCTCTAAACTATCAAGTTAGCCTGTCAGTTCCTCATATGCTAGCAGAAGACATGAAACTCCTGGGTCAGAAACAAAGATCTACAGCAACAGCAACAGCTAGAATATCAGCATTTACCCTCAATCCCTGAACTGCAATTCTTCTAGTGAAAGACGAATAGAACTTCATGATGCCTGCAAAGTAGTGACTACATTATAGAAGAGGAGCCCCAAGCATAGGGAACCCAATTCTTTTACATTAGGCAATAAGCTTGCGGGAAGTTTTCCTTGGAGACAGACATTATTAAACTGGAAAGTAAACAAACATGCCTTTTTGCTCTGGAGGAAGACATGATTTCTGTCTTTTTAAGTTATTCAGTTAAAAAGATAGCTCATAACATAAGACACCTATTTCTAGGTGGATAAAAAAGAATATTACAATGAACATCTATGTATACAAAGATTGCTCAGTATTTTAGATTATCTTAAGATATAGTTTTAGAGTAGAATTACTAGAGAAAGAACAAAATCAGTTTTTAAAGTTCATAGTTTATATTTTTAAATTGCATTTAAACAGCTGTACAATTTAAACTTCTACAATTCATGTATAGGAAAGTCCATTCTCTTATTTAGCTTTTCTGCATTTTCCATGTTTTTACAATGAACATGTGTTAGTGTTATGATTAAGAAAAAAAACCTATTTTTTAAAAAGTTGGTAATATGGAGAAATGAATTCACAATTTTAAGAGAAAGAAAACAACATTATCAAAATATATGATGACTTCAACTGTCTGAAAAAGAAACACAGAAAAAAATACTAAAATACTGACAGTTGTTTCCTCTTTGTACTAAAGGATGTTGAGTGTTTTATCTTTTTCTCTTTATGTTTTTGTGTATTTTTCCATAATGAACAAGTGTAACATTTACAATTACAAAAAAAATCTATTGAAAAGTATGGCCTTTTTAAAGTGGGACAACCTTATGAAATTTTAACCTCTCCATGTTCTTATAAACATTAAGCAAGTTTACATATATTAGAAACCATCCCTACCTGGATCCCCTTGCCCGAATTACTTAAAAACCCCAATATCAAAAGAAAATAAAAAGAGCCAATAAATAGCTTAGCTATGGGATACATCCCTTAACTAATTCACCCCAGGTTCTCAAAAGAATCCAATGTAAATAAAGATGACAGATTAAAATTCACATGGAACTTGTCCAACCTTTATATTCTTTAATTTAAAATAGAAATAATAAATATTACTTGGGTCCATATTTTATTTATCTTTACTTTGGAAAGCTGGCACAATGCTAAAACTTGGTAGGTATCAGTAAGTGTCTGATAAATGAAAAATACTCCAGAGTATAAAACTGTAAGTTAGTAAAGTAACAGAAAAGGATATAAAAGAAACAACTTAAAATATAATTTTCCTACATATGCAAGCCCTAAACTGCACAAGTATAAATAGTCTATGCAGGCTGTATACCTCCCAGCTACCTAAATATAGATGATATGAGTAATGTCTTTTAATGTAATCTCTCTCTGTATCATTTAAAAGGAAACCTTAAAATTAAATTGAATGATAAACATCAAAAAAAATAATCATCTGCCTCTCAAGCCTCTTTCTCATCTCAGAAAACTGAAACAAGCGAAATCATGGATATTTTTGGAATAAATAAATAAGAATTAAAATATTGAAAATCATTTAGCAAAGCACAAATAATTACTATGTTGCATTCAAAGACAGTAAACAAGGTAAAAATGACAAACCTGAAAATCACCCCATCCAATGAATCCTAGAAGCAACTGGATTTGAATTTGAGAAAGTTTTGCCCATATTGGACTTTCAGAATACCAAACTGACAGGCCGTCAAAGAGCAGCATCATATCCTCTAAGAGCTATCACAAAGGAAAAATTAAGAAATAAAAACATTCAAGTTTTAAATCTACTGATAAGGAATTTTCTCCAAAGTAATACAAATCACAAATATTTCAAAGCTAGTTCAATATTGAGTCGGTAAAACCCAAAAGAATTATCCTAGTAATAGCTAACAAAATCTGTGACTATTTATCACATCTTATCTGTGTTTATTGCATCTGATTAAATATTTATGCTCTGAAAAGAGAGAGTACAAAATTTCATTCTTTGAATAAAATCACTGACCACCAGAAAAATAATTTCAAAGAGATATTACTCTACCTTTTCAGTCCACATGTTAGAATTAACAAGTCCCTCTGACTGCAGAAAGTCCTGTATGATCAGAATGAGTCGGAAGGCATTTTCAGCAGTTACTGGATTAAGTTTTGCTTCTCTGTTTTCTGTGACAGCCCATTCTAACATCTTCTGTAGCAAACTAAGTGAAAAACAAAATCCTCTTAAAACCATTTGAAGTTTAGAAAAATAGTAGGACATTAAGAAAAGTTTTATAAATAGGATTGTATCTTCAAAGATACATTATCACTGGCAGGTATCAGAGGACACTATGTATGGTATTTAAGATAAAGCAACTATTTAATCTCTGGAGTATCTACTTTTAAAGCACATAATAACTAAAAGGTGAAGTAAGTTATGTTTTATTTCACTATAGAAAGCTAAGAAAATAATCCAAATTCCAGTCTCCATAAAGTACTTAAAAATGTCTCTAAAGCTAGAAAACAGGAATGCTAGAAAAGAAAGCTTTATTATACCTTACAGAGGCTCTAGCCCTACAGTGAACTCGAAATGTTTTAGAGAAGTAATTATCATGAAAATACTACTTCTCTTAGCATGTAAACACTCAAAGTTGGACAAGCCTGTAGAACACAATGCTCCTAGCGCTTAGATATGAAAAAAAAACTATTTAAATAACAAAGAGTATGTATTCACTAAAACCCAAATTAATTTAAGATTTAAAACTCACACTGGAGTTAGTTTTGGATTTCTCTCCAGATCTCAAGAGAATGGCAATAGAGAAAAGGGCTGAACACAAAACCCCTCCTTTTCTCTCACTATACCCACTGAATATTGAACAAATATTCAACAAATAATATTATCCAAAAATAATTCCCCCCACTGCAAAGGGGGAGGGGAATTCACAAACTGAGTGCTTACATTAGTTTTATTTCATCTGATGGTCGCAGTAGCTCACTGGACATTCCTGGTTTAGTTAGTGCCGAAAACACTTGCCCGCGTTCAATCCAAGCATCATCATCAGATTTTTCTAGTCCCTTACACATTATATAGTTCAAAATACTTGTCAGTAATTGAAGAAGCTCCTCCTCACATCTCTAATAAAAAGATAAAGTAATATTACTAGAGGGAGGTGTAAAATACACATAATAAGAAACATCACAATCACTGAGGATTTTCGGGAAAAGATGGCAGAGTAGACAAGGAGGAAACCTCTTCCCACATACACACCATGGAAGCAACTACATCAAAAACAATTAAACCTGAATATGATCTGAAGACTGTGGAACAGACCATCTACATCTGGTGAAGAATAGAAGCCCACACAGAGAGGACTAAAGAGGCAAACACATGCTATTGATTGGGACACAAGCCCTTCCTCCATCCCAGCCCTCAAATGTGAGGGAGAGGAATGGAGCAGGGAGGGGATAAGCACTCAGAAACTTTGCAAATCTGGCCCTGGAGATCTCCTCTGGGAGCATGAGTCCACATTGCATTGGGCTTTCGTGATTAACAGGGGCTAGATACCAAGGAGAGTAAGAGCATTCTTGCGAGGCTGAGAATCCTACTGCTTGTGGAGGATAGGCATGTGACCTCAGTCCCACAGAAACCCAACACAGAGACAGCAGTTTGAAAGATTTACCAACAGCAGAAGGGTGCCAGAGGGATGGGGGTCAGAGAGAGCTTTCTTCACAGGAGAAAGGGCAGGTAGGCAACACTTTCCCAGCCCTCCTTCAGCACAACTGTTTGGGGACATGTAAGAGCCACCCAAACATTCCAAATCCCCTCACTATGGTTCAGCCCCAAGGTGCTTCCATGCATGCGTGCCTGGCTTAATTGGCCTAGAAGCAGTCCAATTTTGCTGCCTGGTAGATAAAGGGAGACTTTACTGCCTGGCAGGTACTGTGAGTCATTCCCAACTTTTCTGGCCCTCTATCAGCCCAATGTGGGAGGCAACTACAGGAGACAGCTCCAAACACTCAAAGGGGGAGGGGAATTCACAAACTGAGTGCTTACATTAGTTTTATTTCATCTGATGGTCGCAGTAGCTCACTGGACATTCCTGGTTTAGTTAGTGCCGAAAACACTTGCCCGCGTTCAATCCAAGCATCATCATCAGATTTTTCTAGTCCCTTACACATTATATAGTTCAAAATACTTGTCAGTAATTGAAGAAGCTCCTCCTCACATCTCTAATAAAAAGATAAAGTAATATTACTAGAGGGAGGTGTAAAATACACATAATAAGAAACATCACAATCACTGAGGATTTTCGGGAAAAGATGGCAGAGTAGACAAGGAGGAAACCTCTTCCCACATACACACCATGGAAGCAACTACATCAAAAACAATTAAACCTGAATATGATCTGAAGACTGTGGAACAGACCATCTACATCTGGTGAAGAATAGAAGCCCACACAGAGAGGACTAAAGAGGCAAACACATGCTATTGATTGGGACACAAGCCCTTCCTCCATCCCAGCCCTCAAATGTGAGGGAGAGGAATGGAGCAGGGAGGGGATAAGCACTCAGAAACTTTGCAAATCTGGCCCTGGAGATCTCCTCTGGGAGCATGAGTCCACATTGCATTGGGCTTTCGTGATTAACAGGGGCTAGATACCAAGGAGAGTAAGAGCATTCTTGCGAGGCTGAGAATCCTACTGCTTGTGGAGGATAGGCATGTGACCTCAGTCCCACAGAAACCCAACACAGAGACAGCAGTTTGAAAGATTTACCAACAGCAGAAGGGTGCCAGAGGGATGGGGGTCAGAGAGAGCTTTCTTCACAGGAGAAAGGGCAGGTGGGCAACACTTTCCCAGCCCTCCTTCAGCACAACTGTTTGGGGACATGTAAGAGCCACCCAAACATTCCAAATCCCCTCACTATGGTTCAGCCCCAAGGTGCTTCCATGCATGCGTGCCTGGCTTAATTGGCCTAGAAGCAGTCCAATTTTGCTGCCTGGTAGATAAAGGGAGACTTTACTGCCTGGCAGGTACTGTGAGTCATTCCCAACTTTTCTGGCCCTCTATCAGCCCAATGTGGGAGGCAACTACAGGAGACAGCTCCAAACACTCCCTCCTCCTTGCTGGTGGCCAAGCCCATGCTACACTGGCCCACAAAGCAGCCCTGCCTACCCTATCAGGTCACCCTGCCAATAGCAACTGCAGCTCCACTGCAAAGGCGAGCCAGGCACAGGTTAGCAAAGAGTCTTGAGTTTCTGGGCACCACAGGACACCTTCTAAATAAAGCTATTGCTCTCTAGACCAGGAGGCATGGTGGATCTATCTGATAAAAAGGATGCAACACAGGCAAAATGAGAAGGCAGAGGAATATGTTCCAAAGAAAACTACAGGATACAACAGCAAAAAGAGATTTAAATAAAACAGAACACCAATCTTCTTGATAAAGATTTCAAAGTAACAGTTATAAACACGCTCACCGATTTGTGGTGATGTATTGATGATCACAGGGAAGACTTCACCAAAGAGATAGAAGAGTTGAAAAAGAACCACACTGAGCTGAAGAACACAGTAACGGAAATGAAAAATACAATGGGGTTAATAAACAACACAATGCTGCAAGTAGAGGAGATAATCAGTGAGATGGAATTAGACAACAGAAAAACAACAAAGCTGAGGAACACAGAGAAAAAAGAATCTCTAGTACTGAGAGGATGCTGAGAGCTGTGTGAAAACTCGAAACAAAACAGTATTGCATAATATGTGTACCAGAAGGAGAAGAGAGAGACTAAACAAGTAGGGAGTCTCTTTGAAGAAATAATTACTTGAAAACGTCCCCCACTGGGGAAAGGAAATAGACACGCAGATCCTGGAAGTGCAGAGAGCCCTAACCAAAAGGAACCCCAGGAAGATAGCACATAGATATAATAATTAAAATGACAAAGACTGAGGGTAAGAGAGGGTATTGATAGCAGTTAGACAGAGGCAAAAAATTACTTAAAAGGGAAATCCCATAAAGTTCTCAGATTTCTCAGCAGAAACATTCAGGTCAGAAGAGAGTGGCATGAAATATTTAATGTACTGAAACAAAATGTCTTTCAACCAAGAATCCTCTACACAACAAGGTTATCATTCAGAATTGGTGGAGAGATTAAAAGTTTCCCAGATAAACAAGTTAAAAGACTTCATCACCACTAAACCAGCCTTATAAGATATGTTAAAGGGACTTCTGTAGATGGAAATGTTCTTAAGTGTAAATATTTTTCATCAGTGAAAATGAACTACAGTGAAGATAGTAGACCAATTACTAAGTGCAAACTTAAAATTTTTTTAAGAGGAAAAAAGTAGTAAATCAACTATACACAAAACCAGTCAAGAGATACACACAAAAAGTGCCTATTATCACATTAAATACATAAAGTGTGCAGGAGGAAAAGAATAAAAAAGAAGTACTTTTAGATTATGTTTGAAAAAGAGCAACCATTAACTTACTATAGACTATTATTTAGGAAACTATTCATGACGCTTATGATAACCACATACCTAAAGCCTATAATAGAAAAACTAAAAATTTAGAAAGAGAAATCCAATCACAGCATTAAATAAAATCATCAAATTACAAGAGACTAGTACAAGACAGGAAAAAAGGAACAGAAAGGAGCTATAAAAACAACCAGAAAACAATAAAATGACAATAAGTACATACATTATCAATAATTACCTTAAATGTAAATGGACTGAATGCACCAATCAAAAGACAAAAGACACAGGGAGGTAGAATAGATAAAGAAATAAGACTCATCTATATGCTGCCTGTAAGAGACTCATTTCAGACCAAAAGACATACATAGACTGAGTATGGATTGAAATATAGAGAAAGTGAATGTGAAGGGATGGAATAAAATATTTCATACAAATAAAAGGGAGGAAAAAAGGAGTAGCAGCATTTATATCAAACAAAATTGACTTCAAAACAAAGAAAGTAACAAAAGATGAAAAAAAGGGCATTATATAATGATAAGGGATCAGTCCAACAAGAGGATATAAGAATCGTAAATATTAAAACACCCATAGAAGCACCTAAAATATAAAGCAAATACTAACAGAACTAAAGGGAAAAATAGACAGCAACATAGTCATATTAGGAGAGTTTAACATCTCCACTTACATCAGTGGATTGATCATCCAGACAAAAAAGGCACATTAGACCAGATGGACCTACCAGTTATATACAGAACAATACAAAAGCAGCAGGATACACATTTTATTCAAGTCCAATGAAGATTCTCCAGAAAAGATCACAAATTAGGCCACAAAAGGAGCCTTAATAAATTCAAAGACTGAAATTGTAATGAGCATTAACAGATCACAATGGTATGAAACTAACAATCAATTACATGAAGAAAACAAAACAACACACACACACAGAGGCTAAACAGCATGCTTCTAAATAATCAATGGATCAATGAACAAGTCCAAGAGGAAATCAAACAATACATGGAGACAAATGATAACAGAAACACAATGTTCAAAATATGTGGGTGCTGCAAAAACAAGGTAAGTACATAGCAATACAAGTGTACCTCAAGAAACAAGAACAATCCCAAATGAACAATCTTAAGTCACAACTGAAGAAACTAGAAAAAGAACAAATGAAACCCAAAGTTAGTAGGAGAGTCATAAAAAAATATCAGAACAGAAATGAATAATATAGAGAATAAGAAAACAACAGAAAAAAATCAGTGAAACCAAGAGCTTGTTCTTCAAAAAGATAAACAAAAGATAGACCCCTAGCCAGACTTATAAAGAAAAGAGAAGATATAAATACACAAAACAGAAACAAAAAAGGAAGAGTTACAACTGATACCACAGAAATACAAAGAATTAGATAATTTATTTTAAATGAACTAGAGCAAACAATCCTAAAATTCATATGGAAGCACAAAGACCTGCAACAACCAAAATAATCCTGAGAAAGAACAAACCTAGGGAGATTACACTTTCTGACTTCTATTAAGTCAGAAATAGCCTTTGTAATAGGCAAGCTATATTACAAAGCTACAATAATCAAAACAGTATGATACTGGCACAAGAATGGATCCACAGTCCAATGGAACAGAATACAGAGCCTAAGTATAAGCCCACACGGGTATAGTCAATTAATATATGATAAAGGATCTGTGAATATACAATGGAGAAAAGGCAGCCTTTTCAACAAGTGGTGCTGGGAAAACTGGACAGCTACATGAAAGAGAATGAAATATGATTACTGTCAAACTCCATACAGAAAAATAAACTTAAAATGGATTAATGATCTAAATATAAAACATGAAAGCATAAAACTTTTGTAAGAAAACATAGGCAAAAATCTCTTGAACATAAGCATAAGTAATGTTTTTTATCCTGAACATAATCTCTCTGTGAAGGGAAACAAAATAAAAAATCAACAAGTGGGACTACATGCAAAGGACATCAGCAGAACAAAAAGGCAACCTACAGTATGGAAGAATATATTCATAAATGATTTGGCCCATAAGGGGTTAACATCCAAAATACATAAAGAACTCATAAGCCTCAATTCCAAAAAAACAAATAACCCATGTAAAAAATGGGCAGAGGACCTGAACATTTTTCCAAAGAAGAAATACAGATGGCTAACAGGCACATGAAAAGATGTTCCGATTGTGGAACATCAATCAACAAGGAAATGCAAGACAAAACCACAATGAGATATCATCTCACACCAGTTAGAATGGCCACATTCAAAAGACAAGAAATGTTTTGGCAAAGGATGTGGAGAAAAGGGAACCCTCCTACACTGTTGGTGGGAATGTCAATTAGTGCAGCCACTATGGAAAGAAAAAAATGAAAAACAGAAATACCATATGACCTAGTAACTTCATCTCTAGGAATCTACCTGAAGAAAACAAAACAACTGATACGAAAAGATATATACACCCTTAAGTTACTGTCATATTATGTACAACAGTCAAGATACAGAATCAACCAAACTGTCTGTCAATAGATAGATGGATAAAGAAGATGTGGTACATATACAAAATGGAACTTTCCTCAGCCATAAAAAGAATGAAATCCTGCCATTTGCTAAAACATGGAGGACTTACAGGGTATTATACTAAGTGAAATAAGCCAGGCAGAGACAGAAAAATGCTATTTGATTTCACTTATTTGTGGAATCTAAAAGAAAATGAACAAAATAGACATAGATTCATAAATATTGAGAAGTGAATGGTGGTTATTATGGGGGAGGGGTTGGGCTGAGTGGGTGGGGATGAGGAGGGGAATAAAGGGGCACAAAAATTTTCAATCATAACATAAGTTGGTCACAGGGATGGTAATAAAGCAAGGAGAACGTAGCTAATGGTTCTGTAACATCTTCCTATGTCAACCTATGTTGACAGTAACTGCATTAGTTGCGGTGAGAATTTAATAACGTGTCTGACTGTTGAACTACTGTATACTTGAAACCAACAAAAGATTGTTTATCAACTATACTTCAATAAAAAAAGGAATCATCACATATAATGATCATAACCATTTAACAGATTATTAAAGTTTGTTAATGAATCTACACATTTACTAGGTAGGCCCTTAGAGATACAGTAAGAATTGGACTCAACCGTTAAGATACTCACAATTTAGTGCTTAAAGGTCTCTAAATCTTGTTTCATGCGCTTTACAACATGAATATGAAATTGTTAACAATTATACATTTCTAAGGATTAGAAGAGCATGATAGACAAAGGAAAATAAGAGCATTTGGACAAATAAGGAATCTTACCTCTTGGCTTTCAAGTAAAGAGAAGTCATCAGTGAAGCCTGCATCATTTGTAATGCTGCTTTCTTTGTCAGACTGCCCAGAAAATCGTTTAGAAGACTCTATTGGGGATGGTGTGCTAGGCAGACTGTCTGGCATTTGATTTCCAATATCACCCAGTTCACATGAGTCAATTCCACTGAAATCTAAACTCAAATGTGAGAGGTTATTATGCCAGAATTCTTCTTGATTCTCTGATTTAAAAGACAACACTCTCACTGAACTATCTTCTTGAAATAATGGTGTGTTTGAGTCTAAAGAATGTCTGTCTTCTAAACTCCACTGATCTGAAGACTTGTTAGCTGAGGCAGAAGTGTCGGTTTTTTCTTCATCAGTCTTTTCATCAAAGTTCCTCTTAATACCTTCAGCTGATACAAGTTTATCATTGTCTTTCTTCAAAACTGTCCTAATTTGCTTCTGAAAAGTATTTCCATTTTCAAAATTATCTTTTAAAAAAAGCCTAACTAAAGTGTCTTGCCAACCCACTTGTTGAGATATTTGATGCGCTGCATCTGTCTGGGACTGTAAAATCTGCAAAATCTGCAAAGAGATTGAGAATACAAAAGTATACAGTATGTTAGCAGTAACAGTTTCTTTTCAATTTAATGACAAAGTAAATTAATGAGAAATATAGGAGGATAAATTTCAATAGAATATGTTTTAACTGGATTATAAACATTGGAGGGCAGACATTATGTTTTTAACTAATCTGCATATAACTCAATATACAGACTAGGGATGTAATTAAAAATTTGCTAAAAGATAAAATGATCCTCCACATATCAACATATTCTGTTATTAATTTAATTTGGTCAGATAGAAAGTATAAGTAAAATGAAGGTATCCACAAAATGTAATAAAGTTATAACCTCTAAATTAAATACTCTCCATTATCTTACTATATTTGTTTAGCAAATATTGAGCACCTACTGTGTGCTGGGCAGTTTTGGCTCTAGGATTGGGGGAATAAACAGGACACACAAGACTCTCATAACACCTAGGTACTCCACTAGAAGGTATCATGTTTAGTGAAATAAGTCAGGCAGAGGAAGGGACTAGTGGTTACCAAATGGGAGGGTAGGTGGGGAGGTAGGGAGAGGTGGATTGTGCGGTATCATGATTAGTGCACATGGTGTGTGTGGGATCATAGGGAAGACAGTGTAGCTCAGAGAAGACAAATAGGGACTCTGTGGCATCTTACTGCACTGACGGACAGTGACTGCACTGGGGCACGGGGGTGGACCTCGTTAATAGGGGTAAATGTAATAAGCACATTGTTTTTCTTGTGAAGCATTCATGAGTGTATATCAATAATATCTCATTTTTAAAAAAAAACAAAAAAGAAAAACCTAGGTACTTCAAAAATAGAGTTCCCACCTCATTTTTTTTTTTCCAGGCAGTTAATGGTTGCTTTAGCAAAAAACTTTATTTTTCATTAACTTTATATTGTACAAACAAAACAAAACTAAACTTTAGTTTGAAAAAACTAATTCCAATTAGATGGACACTGCTATTAACTATAATAAGATAATGAGATTAAAGAGTAGACAATGACATGGCTACACTGCCAATGGACTTCAGGTTTTTTAGATAAAACCATGTTCTCAAACACTATTGGAAATTCAGGTAAGATCTTTATTTTGGTGTTATTAATATAAATTACATAAATAACACTGTGGTTACTAGATTGCCTCCATTATCAAGTCCCCACGACATACCTAATTACAGTCACTGTCCATCAGGAAAATAAGATGCTATAGAGTCCATACTTGTCTTCTCTGTGCTATATGGCCTTCCCTGTATCCTGCGCTATATATGTCCCCTAATCATAATGCTCCTCTTTACCCTTATCGCTGCCTTCCTACCCATTCTCCCAGTCCCTTTCTCTTTGGTAACTGTTAGTCCATTCTTGGGTTCTGTGATTCTGCTGCTGTTTTGTTTGTTCAGTTTTTTCTTTGTTCTTATACTCCACAGATGAGTGAAATTATTTCATACTTCTCTTTCTTCACCTGGCTTGTTTCAATGAGCATAATGACCTCTAACTCCATCCATGTTGTTGCAAATGGTAGGATCTGATTTCTTCTTATGTCTGAATAATATTTCATTGTGCATATGCAACACATCTTCTTTAACCATTCATCTACTGATGAACACTTAGGTTGCTTCCATTTCTTGGCGATTGGAAACAGTGCTGCAATAAATAAAAGGGTGCATATGTCTTTCAAACTGGGCTGCTGCATTCTTAGGGTAAATTCCTATGAGTGGAATTCCTGAGTTAAATGGTATTTCTATTTTGAGTTTTTTGAGGAACCTCCATATTGCTTTCCACAATGATTGAACTAATGATCCCCACCAGCAGTATAGGAGGGTTCGTTCCCCTTTCTCCACATCCTCGCCAACATTTGTTGTTGTTTGTCTTTTGGATGGTGCCCATCCTAACTGGTGTGAGGTGATATCCCACTGCGGTTTTAATTTGCATCTCTCTGATGATTAGCAAAGTGGAGCATCTTTTCATGTGCCTGTTGGCCATCTGAATTTCTTCTTTGGAGAAGTGTCTGTTCAGATCCCCTGCCCATTTTTTAATTGGATTATTCGCTTTTTGTTTGTTCAGGTGCATGAGGTCTTGGTATATTTTGGATGTCAACCCTTATAATATATGTCATTTATATATTCTCCCATATTGTAGGATGCATATTTGTTCTACTGATAGTATCCTTTGTTGTATAGAAGTTTTTTAGTTTGATATAGTCCCACTTGTTAATTTTTGCTTTTGTTTCCCTTGCCCAGTGACATATGCTCATGCTGAAGTTTTTCATGTTTATATTCAACGGAGTTTTGCCTACATTTTCTTTGAAGAGTTTTATGGTTTCATGACTTACATTCAGGTCTTTGATCTATTTTGGTTTAGTTTTGTGTATGGAGTTTGTCAGTAATCCAGTTTCATTCTCTTACATGTAGCTGTTCAGTTTTGCCCACACCAGCTGATGAAGAGGCTGTCATTTCCCCACTGTATATCCATTGCTCCTATATCATACATTAATTGACCATATATGCTTGGGTTAATATATGGACTCTATATTCTGCTGCACTGGTCTATGGGTCTGTTCTTGTGGCAATACCAAATTGTCTTGATTCCTGTGGCTTTGTAGTAGAGCTTGAAGTTTGGAAGCAAGATCCCCCCAGCTTTATTCTTTCTTCTCAGGATTGCTTTGGCTATTTGGGGTCTTTTGCGGTTCCATATGAATTTTAGAACTATTTGTTCCAGTTCATTGAAGAATGCTGTTGGTATTTTGATAGGCATTGCATTGAATCTGTAGATTGCTTTAGGAAGGATGACCATTTTGACAATATTAATTCTTCCTGCCGAAGAGCACGGGATGAATTTCCATTTGTTAGTGTCCTCTTTAATTTCTCTTATGACCGTCTTGCAGTTTTCAGGGTATAGGTCTTTCACTTCCTTGGTTAGGTTTATTCCTAGATATTTTATTCTTTTTGATGCAATTGTGAATGGAATTGTTTTCCTCATTTCTCCTTCTGCTAGTTCATCATTATTGTACAGGAAAGCAACAGATTTCTGTGTATTAATTTTGTATTCTTCAACTTTGCTGAATTCAGATATTAGTTCTAGGAGTTTTGTAGTGGATTCTTTAGTTTTTTTATGTACAATATCATGTCATCTGCAAATAGGGACACTTTAACTTCTCTCTTATCAGTCTGGATGCCTTTTATTTCTTTGTGTTGTCTGATTGCCCTGGCTAGGACCTCCACTCTATGTTGAATAGCAGTGAGGAGAGAGGAAGATAAGATGTTCCTGATCTTAAAGGAAAAGCTTTCAGCTTCTTACTGTAAGTATGATGTGGCTGTGGGTTTGTCATATATGGCCTTTATTATGTTGAGGTACTTGCCCTCTATAACCATTTTGTTGAGAGTTTTTATCATGAATGGTTGTTGAATTTTGTCAAATGCTTTTTCTACATCAATGGAGACTATCATGTTGTTTTTGTTCTTTTTTTGTGTTGGTGTGCAGGATGATGTTGATGGATTCTTGCATGTTGTACCATCCTTGCATCCTTGGTATGAGTCCCACGTGATCATGTTGTATGATCCTCTTGATGTATGTTTGAATTTGGTTTGTTAATATCTTGTTGGGCATTTTTGCATCTATGTTCATCAGGGATATTGGTCTGTAGTTTTCTTTTTTTGTGGTGGCTTTGCCTGGTTTTAGTATTAGAGTAATGCCAGCTTCATAGAATGAGTTTGGAAGTATTCCCTCTTCTTCTATTTTTTGGAAATCTTTAAGGAGAATGGGTACTATCTCTTCTCTAAATGTCTGATAGAATTCAGCAGTGAATCTATCTGGTCCGAGAATATTGTTCTTGGGTAGTTTTCTGAGTGCTGACTTAATGTCATTCCTAGTAACTGGTCTGTTTAGTTTTTCTGTTTCTTCCTTGATCAGTCTTGGAAGGTTGTATTTTTCTAGAAAGTTGTCCATTTCCTCTAGGTTATCCAGTTTGTTAGCATGTAGATTTTCATAATATTATCTAATAATTCTTTGTATTTCTGTGGTGTCCGTCATGATTTTTCCTTTCTATTTTCTGATTCTGTTTATGTGTGTATATTCTTTGTTTCTTATTAAGTCTGGCTAGGGGTTAACTTATTTTGTTAATTTTCTCAAAGAACCAGCTCTTGGTTTCACTAATTATTTTCTATTATTTTATTCTTCACAATATTATTTATTTCTTCTCTGATCTTTATTATGTCCCTCCATCTGCTAACTTTGGATATCATTTGTTCTTCTTTTCCCAAATTCAAGAATTGTGAATTTAGACTATTCATTTGGGATTGTTCTTCCCTATTTAAAAAGGCCTGGACAACTATATACATTCCTCTTAGAACTGCTTTCGCCATCTCCCACAGAAGTTGGGGCATTGCGCTGTTGTTTTCATTTGTCTCCATATATTGCTTAACCTCTGTTTTAATTCGGTCATTGATCCATTGATTATTTAGTACCATGTTGTTAAACCTCCATGTGTTTGTGAGCCTTTTTGTTTTCTTTGTACAATTTCTTTCTACTTTTATACCTTTGTGGTCCAAGAAGTTCACTGGTAGAATTTCAATCTTTTTGAATTTACTGAGGATCTTTTTTGTGGCCTAGTATGTGGTCTGTTCTGGAAAATGTTCTATGTGCACTTGAGAAGAATGTGTATCCTACTGCTTTTGGGTGGAGCATTCTGTAGATCTCTGTTAGGTCCATCTGTTCTAAAGTGTTGTTCAGTGCCTCTGTGTCCTTACTTATTTTCTGTCTGGTTGACCTGTCCTTTGGAGCAAGTGGTGTGTTGAAGTATCCTAAAATGAACACACTGCATTCTATTTCATCTTTTAATTCTGTTAGTATTTGTTTCACATATGTAGGTGCTCCTGTGTTGGGTGCACAGGTATTTATAATGGTTCTATCCTCTTGTTGGACTGACCACTTTATCATTACGTAATGTCCTTCTTTTTCTCTTACTTTCTTTGTTTTGAAGTCTATTTTCTCTGATACAAGTACTGCAATACCTGCTTTTTTCTCCCTTTTGTTTGCATGAAATATCTTTTTCCATCCCTTTCCTTTTAGTCTGTGTATGTCTTTGGGTTTGAAGTGAGTCTCTTGTAAACAGCATACAGATGGGTCTTGCTTTTTTATCCATTCTATTACTCTGTGTCTTTTGATTGGTGCATTTACTACATTTACAGTTAGGATGATTATCAATTGATATGTACTTATTTCCATTGCAGGCTTTGGATTTGTGGTTACCAAAGGTTCAAGGGCAGCTTCTTTACTTTCTGACCATCTAACCTAACTCACTTATTACACTATTATAAACACAGTGTGATGATTCTTTATTTCTCTCCCTTCTTTTTCTTCCTCCTCTACTCTTTATATGTTAGGTGTTTTATTCTGTAGTCTTTGTGTTTCCCTTGGCTGGTTTAGTGGATAGCTGATTTTATTTTGCATTTAATTAGTATTTGGTTGGTCTACTTTCTTTGCTGTTGCTTTATTTTCTCTGGTAACAGGTATTTAGTCTTAGGAACACTTCCATCTAGAGTAGTCCCTTTAAAATACACTGTAGAGATGGTTTGTGGGAGGTAAATTCCCTCAACTTTTGCTTCTCTGGGATTTGTTTAATCCCTCAAAATTTATATGGAAATCTTGCTGGATACAGTATTCTTGGTTCAAGGCCCTTTTGTTTCATTGCATTGAATATATCATGCCATTTCCTTCTGGCTTGTAAAGTTTCTGCTGAGAAGTCTGATGATAGCCTGATAGGTTTTCCTTTGTACATGATCCTTTTTTTCTCACTGGCTGCTTTTAATACTCTGTCCTTGTCTTTGACCTTGGCCATTTTAATTATTGTATGTCTTGGTGTTGTCCTTCTTGGATCCCTTGTGTTGGGAAATCTGTGTACTTCCATGGTCTAAGAGACTATTTCCTTCCCCAGCCTGGGGAAGTTTTCAGCAATTATTTTTTCATAGACACTTTCTACCTATTTTTTCTCTCTCTTCTTCTTCTGGTACCCCTATATGTGAATATTCCTCCGTTTGGATTTGTCACACAGTTCTTTCAATATTCTTTCATTACTAGAGTTCCTTTTATCTCTCTCTCTGCCTCCATTTCTCTGTGTTCCGGTTCTCTGATTTCTTTTCCATTAACTGTCTCTTGCACCTCATCCAGTCTGCTCTTAAATCCTTCTGTTGTTGTTTCATTCCTGTTATCTCCCTCCAGAATTCATCCCTTAGCTCTTGCATATTTCTCTGTAGCTCTATAAGCATGCTTATAACTTTTATTTTGAATTCTTTTTTCAGTAAGATTGGTGACTTCAGTCTCACCAAGCTCTCTCTGGTGTTTGAGGAATTTTGCCCTGAACAAGTTTCTTCTGTCTTTTCATGGTGATGGGAGTTCTCGCTGGTGAGTGGCACGTGTGTCAGCTGGGAGGACAAAGTCCCTTCCTGCTTGCTAGTTGCCTTGCCTGTCTCCACTGTCTGTGCTGGTTAACCGCACAGAAGGATCAGCCTCTGGGTTAATCCCCTAAGCTGCTGTGGGTAGGGCGGCCTTCAAGATGGCCTATGGCAATGGCAGGGATCGCAGGCTCACAGCACGTATTCTGATGCAAGAGCAAAGCCCCTTCATGCTTCCCAGATGCTGCACTTGTCTCTGCTGTCTGTGCTCATTAACTGCATGCAGAGAGCAGCCTCTGGGTTAATCCTCTCAGCTGCTGTGGGCAGGGTGGCTCTCGGGATGGCTTAGGGCACTGGTGGGGTCCAGGCAAGTGGCATGTGTTCTGCCACAAGAACAAAGCCCCTTCGTGTTTTCTGGACTCTGCACCCATCTCTGCTGTTTGTGCCAGTCAACCACGTGCAGGGCGCAGACTCTGGGTTAATCCCTTGAGCTGCTGTGTGTGTGTGTTTGGGGTTGGGGGTGGGGAGGCAGCCCTTGGGATGGCCTAGAGCACTGGTGGGCTTCATAGGTGAGCAGTGTGTGTTCTGCTGTGAGAACAAAGCCCCTTTGGGTCGCCCAGACTCTGCGCCACTGTCAGCTGTCTGTACAAGTCAACCACATGCAGGGAGCAGCCTCTGTGTCTAGGCCGGTTAGCAGTGCACAGGGAAGCCTTTGTGTTAAGCTCCGTGGTTGCTGTAGGTGGGGCTGCTCCTTGGCTATTCTGCTGCAATAGCAGGTAAGCTGGTTTGCTTGCAGTGCTGGCAGGGTGAAAGTAATGGTAAGCTGCTTATCGCCATGAAGGGGTTCGGAGCTGTGCTGCTATGCAGGGGGGTTAGGGCGCCTGAGGTTTCTTAAAGTTGCCAGCTTGCTAGGCTGAATGTGCAGAGATGATTTTGTTTACCTGTTATGCCCCTAGCCCTTGAAGACTTTTAAAGCACCTGCTTTTTTTTTGTCCCAGGGCAGCCAGTTGTGGGAACCTCTTTGCAGTCTTAATCTCGGATTTTGCTTTTCCACTCCTCTAATATCCAGTGCACTGTGATGTGTGTCTGTGCTCCTGGGACAGATTACTAGGGCTCGTTATTTAGCAGTCCTGTGCTTCCACTCCCTCCCCGCTCTGATTCTTTTCCTCCCACCGGTGAGCTGGGGTGTGGGGAGTGCTCAGGTCCTGCCAGATTATGGCTTTGTATCTTACCCTTTTCCATGAGATGTTAGGTTCTCACAGATGTAGCCTGGTTCGTGTACTGTATCTCCGGGTAACTCTTTTAGGAATAGTTGTATTTGCTGTGTTTTCATAATATATATAGTTTTGGGAGGAGATTTCCGCCACCCTACTCATCCTGCCATCTTGAGAATCTCTCTCCAGGTATGATTGTTAAGACATTTTTATCACAAAGCAAGAAAACTTCTATCTAAATGAAAAGAACTTTGGTTCCCAGTATAAATCAGAATTTCTAATTCTGATAAATTTCACAGATGAACAATATTAGTAGAGCTTTCAGTATCAATGCTTCTAATGAATGCTGATGTTGATATAGACAGCAGTTGATATAGACAGACTCAAAGAGTCACAATTGACAAGTGAAGTTCCTTTCTTCACTAATGTTATCAGTCAGAGAGTCACCATTATTCTGCCAGTATAGAGTACCAATTTTTTTTCTTAAAGATTAAGCTTTGCTTGGCAAAGAAATTTTCATGACTTTAAAATTTCCATAAAGACCTATTTCATGTCTATTTTATTTACATGTAATGGATAAAACCTAGACTGCACTGATAGCTGTTTCAAACTGTACCGGAAAGGGAAACATCAATTTATATGACCTGCTTCAAGTACAAGACAGCAAAATCCATCAAAATGTAAAATGGGAATACCCTCTGACACAGCAATGCCATTTCATGGATTTGAATCTCTGACCTGAAAGACAACTCTCCCACTGAACAATTTTCTTGGGATAATGGTGTGATTGAGTCTAGCTAGTGTCTGTCTTCTAAGCTCCACTGATCTGAAGACATGTTATTTGAGGCAGAAGTGTCGGTTTTTTCCTCATCTGTCTTTTCATCAAAGTTCCTCTTAATATCTTCAGCTGATACATTTTTACCACTGTCTTTTGTTAACATAGTCCTACTGTGCTTCTGAAAAATTTCCATTTTCAATATTTGCTGTTGAAAAAATACTGTGTATTGCCAACCCACTTGCTGAGGTATTTGATGGCTACCACAGAAATATTACTACAAACAGGCAAAAACCTATGTAAAATGATGCTCTTAACCTAAGTTCAGTAGCAAAAACAAGAGACAACCTAAATGTCCATCCATAGAGAAACAGATTACACTTTATGGAACAGCCGTATAATGAAAATCTACACAGCCATTAAAGAGAAAGATAGAGATCTAGATTTACAGATGGGAAAATACTGTAATGTAATTAGGGAGCACAATTAAAAAGAAAAGCAAAGAAACAAATTAAACAGTAGACAGGCCAGTGGTTACCAATGGAAGAGAGAGATTATAATCAGAAGGAAGCACATGGGATAAGAATTTCTTGACTTAGTCAAAGGTTAAATGGACACAGTGTGGGCAAATTATTATTGGAATACTCATAAACAGATTATAGAAAATCCTTTCCACAAAGTTTAAAACATTCAGGAACTCTAAAATATGGTATATGAATTAGAAATGGTCACAATCATTGAAGGTTATTGATAAAGAAACTATTCTCTGCTAACTAAAAAAGTTTCCATTCTGGAAAGGGCATATTTATAGGAGGCCATGTAGGACTAAGAAAAACAAATTCATATGCTGATTTCTTGTGATTACATGAAGTTCATTTATCTCAAAAAAGGAAATTATTCATTTATAAAATTACATCATTTATAAAATAAATTAAAACTTACATCTGGTGTAAAATACTCAGTCTGTGTTATTCCAGGTATAACAACACTGCTATTTTTACGTGTATCTTTAAACTTACTAACCTTTCTGCAGATGACCACCCTGACGTTTATATATGCTCTGTGAGATAGATATACGATAGATAACAGATCCTTGAAATTAATAACAGGATCTATGATGGGAGAAAACAAAAAGTTAAAAACACAGAGATAATCAAAGAACTGTGGATAACAGTTATATAAATGTTGAAATAGTTGTTTCATTTTTCGTTTCCTTTTTCTTTTTGCTGTTAACAACAAAGGCCCTTTATTTTTTCCCCAGCTTTACTGAGATATAAACTGACAAAAAAGCAATGCTATAGTGAACTTGGGAGTGCAGATATCTCTTTATGATAGTGATTTAATTTCCTTTGGCTATATACCCTGAAAAGGGATAGTTGGATCATATGGTAGTTCTATTTTTAACTTTTGGAGGAACGGCCATACAGTTTTCTATAGTGGCTTTACAAATTTTTATTCCCACCAACACCTCACAAAGGTTCCATTTCTCTACATTCCCACCAGCACTTGTTAAGCTCTTGTCTTTTTGATAATACCCATCTTAGCAGATGTGAGGTGATTCCTCATTCTGGTTTTGATTTGCATTTCCCTGATGATCAGAGATGTCGAGCACCTTTTCATGTGCCTGTTGACCATTTGAATGTCTTTAGAAAAATGTCTAGTCAGATTCTGCTCATTTAACTGAATTAAGAATAAAAATTGTTTTGCTATTGAATTGTATGATTTCCTTACATATTTTGGATATTAATCACTTATCAGATATTTGACTCTCAAATATTTTCTCCTATTCTGTAGGTTGCCTTTTCATTTTGTTGACGGTTTATTTTGCTGTACCAAAAAAGCCATTTACTTTGGTGTAATTCCACTTGTTTATTTTTGCTTTTATTGCTTCTGTTTTGGGTGGCATATCCATAAAGTCACTGCTAAAACAAATACCAGTATTTTTCCCTATTTTCTTCTAGGAGTTAAATGGTTTAGGGCTTACATTTAAATCTTTAAGCCATTTGAACTTAATATATATGAGTGATATAAGAACGGTTTCATTTTCATTTTTTTGCATACATATATCCAGTTTTCCCTACATTTATTGAAGAGACATTGTTTTTCCCATTGAGTATTCCTGATCTTCTGATAACTATTAGTTGACTATAGAGGCATGGATTTATTTCTGAGCAATCAATTCTATTCCATAAAAAACAATCCTGTGTTTTTGAATGTGAATATCATACTATTTTGATTATTAACAGCTTAGTATTATAGTTTCGCTTGAAATTAGGAGATAAGATACCTCCATCTTTCATCTTTTTTTCTCAAGTTCTTTTTCAAAGAAAAAACTGTGGACAAAACTTATATAAACACTGAAATAACAGTTTCACTTGGAATAAGAATTATTGACATGTTTAATGATCATAAAGAAAATACGTTTAGAGTGCTGGACATCCTCGTGAGTTAACCTAAATAATTGCTCTTTCTTTTTGATTAACTGAAAATATTGTCCATACTGCTGTAATCTTCTACCATTCTTTTTTGTTGTTATCATTAATCCACAATTACATGAAGAACATTATGTTTACTAGACTTCCCTCTTCACCAAGTCTCCCCCACAAACCCCATTACAGTCACTATCCATCAGTGTAGTAAGATGCTGTAGAATCACTACTTGTCTTCTCTGTGTTGCACAGCCATCCCCCTACTTCCCCCCACCACATTATACATGCTAATTGGAATACCTCCTTTCTTCTTTCCCGCCCTTATCACTCCCTTCTCTCCCATTCTCCCCAGTTCCTTTCCCTTTGGGAACTGTTAGTCCATTCTTGGGTTCTGGGATTCTGCTCTTGCTTTCTTCCTTCAGTTTTTCTTTGTTCTTATACTCCACATATGAGTGAAATCATTTGGTACTTGTCTTTCTCCGCTTGGCTCATTTCACTGAGCGTAATACCCTCTAGCTCCATCCATGTTGTTGCAAATGGTAGGATTTGTTTTCTTCTTATGGCTGAATAATACTCCATTGCGTATATGTAACACATATTCTTCTTTTTCTTGTTTTTAATTTTATTTTGGTATCATTAATCTACAATTACATAAAGGACATTATGTGTACTCGGCTCCCCCTTCAACAAGTCCCCCCGACATCCCCATTCACAGTCAACGTCCATCAACATAGTAAGATGTTGTAACATCACGACTTGTCTTCTCTGAGTTGCACAGCCTTCCCCATGCCCCCCCTACACTATAGAGGCAAATCGTAATGCAACCTTTCTTTTTTTCCCGCCCTTATCCCTCCCTTCCCACCCGACCTCCCCAGTCCCTTTCCCTCTGATAACTATTAGTCCAATCTTGGGTTCTGTGCTTCTGCTGCTGTTTTGTTTCTTCAGGTTTCTTTTGTTCTTATACTCCACATATGAGTGAAATCATTTGGTACTTGTCTTTCTCCGCCTGGCTTATTTCACTTAGCATAATACCCTCTAGCTCCATCCATGTTGTTGCGAATGGTAGGA